TGGTTTTACCCCAGCTGGCAGCTGAGCACCGTGCAGCCGCTCGTTCATTTCCCCTCATCGGGATAGGGGAGAGAATTGGAAAAGTTAAAGTGAGAAAACTCGTGGGTTGACATAAAGACAGTTTAACAGGTAAAGCAAAAGCTGCGTGCACAAACAAAGCAAAGCCAGGAATTCATTCACCACTTCCCATGGGCTGGCAGGTGTTCAGCCATCTCCAGGAAAGCAGGGCTCTGTCACGCATCACGGTTACTTGGGAAGACAAACACCATCGCTCCAAATGCTGCCGCCCCCCCTCTTCCCCCAAGCTCCTTATAAACTGAGCATGACATCATATAGTACGGAATATCCCTTTGGTCAGTTTGGGTCACCTGTCCTGTCTGTGTCTCCTGCCAACTTCTTGTCCACCCCCAGCCATCCCGCTGGCAGGGCAGTGCAAGAAGCAGAAAAGGCCTTGGCCCCATGTAAACACTGCTCAACAATAGGTCCATAGAACAAAAACATCTCTATATTATCAATGCTGTCTCCAGCACAAATCCAAAACATATCCCCACAGTAGCTACTATGAAGAAAATCAGTCCTCTCAGCTGAAACCAGGACAACTGTAAATGCTTGCAAAGGAGAATTTCTCAAATAGCAAGGGTGTCCTCCAGCACTACACTCCATTGCAACTCTGTGTGTGTAACTGTGTAAGGGCCATTATTTTATTTTTATTTTGTAATGTTCCCTTCTAGGACATTTATCTTGAGAGTTAGACTCTGTGAGCCTTTAGTACGTGTTGGGGACTTTGTTTTCAGGAGGAAATTTCACTACATCAGTTTTTAAATCTTTTTGCTTTCAGGTGTATCTTGCTTCCTAGCTTGTTAAATTTTCTTTCTTCTTAGTGTTAGTTTTCCACTGGGAAAACTATCTGGAGCCTAGAGATGTCTTCTGTTAGTGCTTACACTTAGCAATATCGGTGAGGATATGAGGTTGAAAATGATAAATGTAAACAAAGTCTCCCGTAGGTAGACATGGACCTTCTTCATCCGGTGAGATAAGAGCCAGTGTTGTTTTATGTTCTAACCATTGTTTTTGATAAATACTGCCCTGGAATTAAATTAACAGAGGAGAGCTTGCAAAAGTGACATTTGAGTTTAGACTGCTGCTTATTTGGCATAGTGGGTTAATTTGATTTACAGATGTTATACTAGAGAGCTACTATTCAGGCTTGATTATTTTCAAGTTGTGGTTGAAAGTCTACTCTGTTGAGAAGAGATTCTTTGTTTTTAAAGAAATGTTTATTTCTTCTAGACCGTCTGTAACTTTGTAAGTTAAGTGGTATGAAATGACGTCTTGCTAAGCAGCAGTAACTTCTGGTTGCAAAGGACTCGTTTTGAAATTGCTTTGCATTAGCTGTATTACATTGCTTTCCAAACAGTAATCCTATGATTATTTTTTAAATGCATTGATTTAAAGAGGTGAGATGGGGTACAGAAGGTGTTTTACCTCCAGATCTGTTAAATGTTAAAATGTGTGAGGATTTCCCTCTACCAGGCCTCTGCTGGGGGGATGTTGTCCAATTAATGCAATGCCCTGTGATGCTCTGACTCGAAACAGTAGCACGACAAAATCACTAACAGCATCTTTTTTTTTCTTTTCTTTTTTTTCTCTTTACAGTAAAAAAAGCTAAACTCCAAGGACCACCAGGTAAGCCATGCTCTGCTACTTGTATGCAGCTGTGACACTTAGTCTCTGACTCCTGATTGTGCTGCTCCTTCCCGTTTTCATCTTCCTCCTCTCTGCTCCTCCATGCCCTCCTGAGGAGTGGCAAAAGCTACCCCAAGAGTCCAGGCAGCCTGAGTTAGTGTAAAGCTTGAGGATGTCACCTGCTGTCACAGTGCTGAGAAACCTCTGTTGGCTCACCTTACCTGAACAGGTGATGGATGAGAAAATATGTTCCTTTACTGTCATCAATTCCCACCTGACCCTGCCCTTTCCTCTCATCTGTCTGTCCCTGTTAAAAACACTGAATTTCCAGGAAAGGAAAGCTGATTGCCCAGACTGGAAGGGATACTAAGGGATCTTATCGTTTCTCTAATCAAGAAGCCTGCTCACAGCTGCAAAATATTTGTCCTGCGGTCTAGATTTAACTGAAGCCTGTGGTTTCACTGACAAGCCCAGTGTCCCAGGAGGATGCAAGTGGTGTAGCTAGATAGGAGAGAATCTGACTTTCAGTGACTCCCACTTCTTCCTGAGCTTCTGCTTTCAAGTTACTTAGCATACATCTTGTTCCACACTTGATGAAACTGGTAGATGGGTCTGAGGTGGTAACTCCCTTTAAAAAGGAGTTTGTTCATTCTCAGATGCTGATATTCAAACCTTGTACATGTCTGTGCTTGGCAGGTAGAGAGATAGCAGCAACTAGGAAAAAAGACTTTTTCTTCAAATCTAAAATAAAAAGCAAAACATCTAAACAAAGTCTGTTCTGTCAAAATATGAGTGTTACATGGTTCTTCTAGGTTAGCAGGTTTAAGCAATAGAGATCAGTTTTAGCACATTTAGCATGAATCACTGTATTTTTCCTTCTGCCCCTGACTGGTCTGTAAAGTTCTTTGTGGACTCATGGGTGGAAAACCAGGTTGGAACTAGGGGAGCAGTTGGGTCAGAAGGGAAGAGATGATATGATCAACTCAACTGCTTCTTGCTTGTATGTTTTGCAAGTTTGTTTTCCACTCTGCATGGTCTGCGTGATGGGCCCTATTCCTTCAGACTGTCTCTTCTTTCTCTCGCCTGCGTTTCAGTAAGCAGCACCTTACACGCAGTGTCTGTGTTCTTTAGAACTGTACACTCCTCCTTTGTCCCTGAATTACTGCAAGTGCTTAATTGTCTGTTTTAGTTTGTGCATGAATTTCTAAAAAACTGTGATTGAAAATTTGATGGCAGGTGAAAAACTTCTGGAACACTTGGCTCCTTAACTCAGTGATGTATTCCCATATGGGCTTTTTGTTCTGGGTCCCCCTGGGATGCAATGTATGGACTGAAAAACCTTGAAATTTTGTGCTTATGTGATGAAAGGGTATACTGAAGGAGATAACTCTGTCTCTTGTTCTCCAGATAAATTCAATACGTATGTCACTCTGAAAGTGCAAAATGTGAAGAGCACGACAGTAGCCGTGCGAGGTGACCAGCCCTGCTGGGAACAGGACTTCATGTTGTAAGTAGTGTTGCGCAGTGATGAGGTGTTTGTGGTCGAGTCCTTCCACAGCACTGACATTTATATGGAGCTGCTGTTGTGTTGTATAAATTGGAGTACCTAAGTAGGTAAAATGCACAGGTCTGGTGACACCCTAAATAATTTGCTTTTCTATTGCACACACTGACCTGTCCTGAAGAAGATGTGTGTTGAGAGGTTGTCTCTGCTGGTGCCACGGACTGGCTGGGGTAGCCCATGTCCTTTAATAGTATCAGGTTGCCTGGATTCCTGTTCTTGGACCTGTGTGTCAGCGTGCAGCAAGAGCTGGCTGCTCCCGCAGGGACAAGGAGCCAGATGTGGTAGGAGGCTGGTAGAGCAGGGTCCTCACCAGCCACAGCCTGGACCCACGGTACCTGGGCAGCACAAGCAGGGCAGGCCTAAGCATCAGGTCAGCATCTGGCGAGAGGTCACGTCATCAGACAAGCTCATAGTAATGAGGCAGGTCCGAGATCAAGCTGGGAGTGCAAGTTAGAAGTCAACTCAGAGTTGTATTTGGTAACAATAATTGGGGTCAGAGATAGTCCAGCAATTGCCCATCAGGTCCATAGTGATGAGCCAAGGCTGAGGTTGAGCTGGGAGGTCAGTGGGTTAGGTCTGGAATGATGGGGTCCATGGCCAGGTGTGGGCACAGCTGTGGCTAGCTGGAGACAAGCATACCTACAGCATAGCTTAGGTAAGGGCTGAAAGCCCATAGCTGAGCTTAAATGGAGCTCCTGAGCCATAGGGAGAGGGTGTGGGTGGAGCCCACTGGTGAGGCTGGTCAGGGCAATTAAGGGCTGTTGTTAGTGCACTCAGGGCTTTCACATGGTGATCCTGGTTACCACTCTTGTGTGTTGATGTTTTCTGCCATTGGCGTGATGCCCATGAATGTGTTTTCCAGCTCCCCTGCTGTAGCTTGAGGGGCTGCCAGTCCCTGCCATGAGCAGCAGAACCGGTTCCAGCTCTCCCAGGGTTTCAGGTGCAGTTGGCACTTCTAATTTGCTCTGGTCCTCATAGTCCTGACATGTAGCCAGGGATTTCACAGTATCTTTTAGAATGGTGGTGTTTTGTGGGTGGGGTGGTTTGGGGGTTTTTTTTCTTTATTTTTGTTTGCAAGTGAATGAATGACAGGCTGAGAGAGTTGGGGTTGTTCAGCCTGGAGATGAGAAGGCTCCGGGGAGATCTAATCGTGGCTTTCCAGTACCTGAAGGGGCCTACAGGAAAGCTGGAGAGGGACTCTTTATCAGGGAGTGTAGTGACAGGATGAGGGGTAATGGGTTTAAGCTGAAGGAGGGTCGATTTAGATTAGATATTAGGAAGAAATTCTTCCCTGTGAGGGTGGTGAGATACTGGAACAGGTTGCCCAGAGAGGCTGTAGTGGCCCCATCCCTGGAAGTGTTCAAGACCAGGTTGGATGGGGCTTTGGGCAACGTGGTCTAGTGGAGGGTGTCCCTGCCCATAGCAGGGGGGTTGGAACTAGATGATCTTTAAGGTCCCTTCCAACCCAAACAGTTCTGTGATTCTATGACTCTGATATGTTGCATCTATCTGTTTCTATAGCTTTGTAAGACAAAGTGAACTAAATTTACTAAATCCTGGACTGCAAGTGCTTTTGATGAACTTGAGATGGATGCTGCTGTTGAGGGGGGAGATGATGATGTTTGTTTATCTTGTGGAGTCAAAGCTGGTGCTGCTGTTTTTGAGTGGGTCTGATGTGTTTACATAGGAGACCCACACAGGATTTTGTGAGTAAGTTTCCCAATCCAGTAACACTTGGTTCTCCTTTGCTGAAAGTGGGAAGCTTTTGTCTCTGGTTGATGAGTTCACCTGGGTCAGTACAGTGCTGCCATCATAGCTGTGCTACCACCTCCCTTATTTGGTGGTACTCTGCTTTTGCAGCAGCATATGAGGTGTGTGCTTCTGCACGTAGAGCCTGGAGCCTATCCTTTGGTATCAGGCAAACACGTGTGCTCCTGAACACCACCATCTTCTCAGCTCTGCAGTTCCTGGTCAGACAGAGGCTGTGGCTATCACTGAGATAAACCATGCAGGACTGAGGTGAGGTTAGGGCAGGGAATTGTACCTGTCTGCCAAATCACATGCCCATACCCAAACTACAAACTCATTCTTCCTGTGACTTGTTCTCATCCTGTGGACAGGAACTGGCTTTAAACATGGCCAGCTACAGAGGAGGCTGCTCACCAGTGGTTTAAGAATGGCACTTGTGTTGGATAATGGCTCTCACGGTTGCTCCTCCTCCTTCCCCTCTGACAGCTCCTGGAACTGCTCTCCGATATCAGCTGGGAGCTTAGCTAGCATGCTGTAAGGTCACTGTGCTGCTCCGTAATTAGTTGCTAGGGGATATGAAAGAAGAATATTAGCTGAACTACTTCGCTATTATCATCCCTGCTTTAGCCAGGCAACAGCAAAGTTGTTCTGATTTTTCTTTATAACAAAAATATTACACGTGGCAGGGAACGTGTTTTGCATGATCCTGTGTACGTTAAGTTGTCCCAGGAGAAATAACACTGATATTCCAATACTACTATTCACTGGTTTGCTCTTTTTCTTTCTGGAGTTGGAAAAGGCTTTTGAACACAGTAGTTTTTCCTTGAGGGAAGGATGCTTTTACTGCCTGTGTTTGTGTTTATCTTTTTTATGAGGCATAGTAGAAGAATAGACTACAACTAAGGAAATGCTTTCTATCTGTGCTTGCTGGTTTTGCTTCCGGACTCCTTGAGAGACATACAACACTTCAGAATTTGGAGCTCAGGGGTTGTTTGAGATTTGTTTATTTTCCAAACTGGTAAAACATTTTAATGTATTCTTTGGGGGCATCTTCTAATTTTGAAGCAGCTTTAAAAGGACTGCATATTTGCAGCAAGTACCTCTTGAGTGAAAGTGCAAATGATGTTTAGAACATGATGATTAAATTGGTGTTGAAGTTGTTAGAAAAGTCTTTCATTTAAATTCTATGTGCATGTTGAAAGGGAGGGACACCAAATTCCAATCTTGGCTCTTTTGTTCTTTGAAGATATTCTGCATCTAACCAGAAGGTGGAGAAAAGGACACACAAAGGCAAGCAAAGCCACTGTACTGAATATATTTTTTATTCTTATCTGGTGACCTGTCCTGTGGAGTTCTGTACAGAAGCTTGTTGGGTGTCTTATGATCAATGTCTTGCTCTGTCAGTGTACATTGAAGCAAAGAACGTGGTTCTACAGTGTGCCTGCAAACAGAGTAATTTTTTCCTTCCCTTCCCATTCTGGCCTCACACTAGTCCAGCTAGCACAAAAACAGACATTTCTGTTGTTATTGGAAGTTCACGCAATCAGATAAATATCATCTTCAAGAAGCAAGCAGGAGGAGGGCAGAGCAGTGATGGTACAGGTGTCTCGTTAGTTTGGCTGTACGGAGTAGGGATATTGAAACAGAGCTGGAGACTCAATTTCAAGATGCTAGCAGTAAACTCACAATAAGCCTGTGTAATAGCTTGATTTTTGAACTATGTAGACTGGGTCAGTCAAGTACTGGACACCCCTGACCTCAGTTCCTCTGTCTTAAACATGAACAGAAGCACTTGGGTTTAAAATAGATATTAATGTGCTTTGCTGTAGCTGTAGGGTTTGTCTTCAACCTTGTAGATAAAATATTCTCCTCTAAAGTTGTAAGAAGTCTCTGGGGCAAAGCTCGAATAGATGCTGGGATTTGCAGCAGTTCTTTTTTTTGGCCATGATGGCGGTCTGTAGCAATTAGCAACTAAGGTGCTTTTAAATTCCCTTGATAAACTTAATGTGGATATATTTGGACAGAAGGACAGCAGGCAGCAGCACTGTGTGTCCAAGATACCTACTTTTGGGGATTAGTGGTTGCACTGAAGGGAAGTGCTGAGCTCAGAGAAGTAGGAGCAATAGCCGTTCTTCATGATAAGTGTGAGACAGTTGCGTATCAACAGAGCTCAAGATTCTTCTCTACCTCATTGTTTTTACCAGCATTCAGGCTATGTATGTGTTACGCTGTTCTTAAGTAGGCACGTTATAAACCAGCATGGAAGAGGGAGGCATAAATACTATGAAGCATTGGGAAGAAGCAAATTTGAGATGCATCCTTTCTTCACTGAGAGTTAAGATGTTCATTAAAACCTTCAGATAAGTATTTCCAAGAACTCTGCACTCAGTTGTGTGATTGTATTGCCGCTTGCTGCCAGAGATTCGCATGGCTCAAAGCCCTGCAGTGTCACGCAGGGGAAGGAGCTAGTGCTGGAGCAGAAGCTGTGCAACGCAGCCCTGAGCAATGGGTAGTGCTGCTGATGCAGCTACGCTGGGTTTGGGACTGTTACTTTTGGCATGCAGCTGCTCCACTCACAGGTAAGTATTGCCATGTTTGAACCTGCTTGTGTTGCTGTGCTGCCAAGGGAAAGATACACCTACTTTGTTAGAAATGGGGTTCCTGGTGACAAAGAACAGCTCATCTCTAGGTTGTGGCCCAAGATATGCTTCCTTCTCCTGTGTACATAGCTGCTGAGACAAGTTCCTGATTGTCCGTCCATACACAACATATTTCAGGGTTTTGGTTTCCAGTCTTTGTGTAGTTAGTGTTAAACTGTGAGAAATCAGTCATTAGAAACTAGTGTTCCCTGTTGGTATGAACTGCCTCAACCACACACTTCCAGAAGCTCTCTGTAGCTTGATACAGCTGTGTGGAGAGTTCACTGGTATATTCATGGTAGTGATGCAGAACCTAAAGCAGAATTAGATAGTATTCTGCTTTTTGCTCACTTGTACTGCCTTTTCTTTTCTTGCAGTGAGATCAGTCGGCTGGACCTGGGCCTGATTGTGGAAGTATGGAACAAAGGACTGATCTGGGACACCCTGGTTGGGACCGTGTGGATTGCGCTGAAGGCCATTCACCAATCTGATGAGGTTAAGCTGACACAAAAGCTTTATTTTGACAGCTCCAATCTTGATAGTTAATGTGTTAACGAATCTAGCCTGGTGTCGCCCAGGACTGTGCTCCGCTGCAAAACTTCTACTTCCAAAGCCAAGATGGCTGGGTGTGGGGAGAGGGCTGTTGGCATCGCGTTGGGTTTGTTTTTTGGTTTTTTTTGAAGCATGCTGCCAACAGTGAGACAAAAACTGAGCTTAAGTAGGGGTCTTTGGTCTCATTGCACTCACATGGACTCAGAAAGCAGGACTTCGTCTGTTAAGGAACGCATATAGTTGACAAGTGCCTGAAGTCTAAGGACTGACTCCTTAGTCTGATGCTCAAATTTCTGTAGGGTCCAGCTAAAGACAGAGGGTGCCCTGATAACAGACAAGCCGACCTTTAAGGTAGGCCCAGAGCATGTCTACATCATCTTATTAAAGTTTCTGGTTGCAGTGTTAGAGGGTGTCTAGTGGTGCTAATATGAACTGAAAAGAGTATGAAATGGGATGTGCCAATGTCTGTAGCTGCCCTAACTACTGAATTTTGCAGTTCTTGCAGCTAAGCAGGACATGTTTGTTTCTTTACATCAAATTTCAGGACAATTATTTAAAAAATTACTGAGTTTGAGCAGGGAGAGAGAGCTTATATTTTCCATAAAAGGAAGAGAGCGGGGACGCCCTGCAATGTGGCTATAAGGTCTGTGTAGTCCTCAGTTCCTCTGGCTGTCCAGGCACTTCTCCGTGTCTGCCTTTGAGGACCTACCTTTGCAGTTCCACTGAGAAGGTAGTAGTTTTGCTGGAAGGGGTTTGCTGCTTGCCTTGGTAAAGGTCTGTGAGATTTGGAAGACAAGCTGCCACCGTGTGCTGAATGGATGTCATTTAATGTTAAAATCAGGTACCAGGTCTTGATAATACTGTAAGGCTCTTCCTGGAGTCTTTTGTCTGAGGAAATGTGTGAGAGTCACTGCATAAGGACCTGCCAGACTTGAAGCTTCACCTGTGGCTTGTCATTCACAGGAAGGTCCTGGGGAGTGGTCTACACTGGAGGCAGAAGTTGTAATGAAACATGATGAAATCTGTGGAACCAAAAACCCAACTCCTCATAAAATTTTGCTGGACACAAGATTCGAGTTACCTTTTGGTGAGTGCATTTCAATAAGTTAGTGCTGACAGTGGAGAGGAAGTGTATGGGAGCAGCTTGAGTTTTACAATCACGTTATGCTTGCTCACAGTTCTGCCAAAATAGTTCAGTGCAAATTAAATCGGTGGTGTTCATGTCTTGTTTGGCTTCTTTCTAATAGGATCAGAATAAATAAAGAAGATTTGATCGTGTCAGGGTGCTGGAACCTTTAGACTAGCACCAGTTTAAGAAACTATTAATACTATTTCACTATTGTGCAGTCAGACATTTTGTTCCTCAGCAGGGAACATTCACTTCTTTGTATCTAGACCAATTTGGCCCTAGAAGAGGTCAGGTGCATTGTTAGAACTGTTCTGTGCTAGGTGCTTGTAAACTCTGTGACAAGTGTGCAGTTCAGTTAGTAAAACAGTAATGCTGAGTGCTTCTAAGTATTATCATTGGCTGAGTATATAAATAACTTGGTGTTATAAGAACAACTGCCTTTCTGGCAATTACTTGTGGTTGAAATGTACAGAATGTGGAAAAGCGGCTAATTGGAGCAAACCCATCTCAAGTAAAGTTGTGCGTATTTTTTTTTTTATTTTATTTTACTTAAATGCAAACAAAAAACCCCAAAACAAACAAACCCCCAAAGGAAAGGTTTAACCAGAATGCATCCAAGGCTTACACAGCTTCTCTTTCCAGCTCTTAGCTGACTCTTGGGACCAAAACCAAAGATGCTGTTTTTGCGGCTTGTGGTATTTTTTTTCCTTTTTTTTTCTGCAATGGGCATTGAAGTGTTTCAAAGTTGTCTGTCATTGCAAGGCTCATCTCTCCCCCCCTGCCTGTTGCTTGCTTATTGCTGCCAAGCTCCTGGTGGTGCGAGCAATTTGTATCGTCCTCTAAGCACTGGTGGAGCACTTGTGCACCCACTGGCATTTGGCCAGCAACTGTCAGGATTGGCCATCTGTTGTAGGAAAAAGTTAGATCATCTATTAGTCTCACACCCCCCTTCCTGGTGCAAGGGAGGATGCAGGCTTTGGCCCTGCAGCACTAAAATCGATATAAATTATGTCTTGTGCTCTAGGAGCTAAGCTGGGTGTACTGTTTTGAGCGCACCGTCGGCTGGATGGTGCAATTCAGGGTGATTGCAGTGTTTTATAGATGTCGTAGGGACCGCTCTTTAACTGCGGTCTGGCGAGTGAAGGGGAAAAGGTATCTGGGCTGTCTTGGCAACTAAGCTATCTAATGTTGGTCTGGAGCCATTTCTCTTCCTCATGAAAATGTCCTGGTGATTCACTGCTGTCACCCTGTCAGTGGGAAGTTTGTTACTGAAATTGCTTGTTATGTAAGAAGAGGAACAACTCACTTGATTTCCTTGTGAGGTGAAACATTGGTTCTTTGGGGCAAGTGTTTAGGCTTCTGGGAGGGAGACAACACAGCACATATAGCTGAAGTCAAGGCTTGTAGCTGCTACCTTCTCATCTAAGTTCATTCTGACATAGTTGCTTGTAAACTGTCTCTGCTTTGAAAGAAAATTAAGTTCGGACCTCTTCATGTGTATTCAGAGAGTATCCAAAAGAGAATTTGCTTTCTTCTCCAATTAATGTTTTGGATTGCATTACATTTTGCGATCCCTCCACCTGCCAAGTATAGCAAAACAGGCTCTGTAAACCATTATGTGTTAGAGCTTCTGGATTTAAAAAATAAAAATATTTCAGGTAATAGTGTGTGTTCTCCCTACTACTATGCTCAAAACACAGGACTCTGTTTGTTTTGGGTTTTTATAACTACTATTTTAAAATGTATGATGTTCGATAGAACATAGAATTCTGAGAAGCAGGATTTCATGCAGAAAACTGAAAACTTTAAGTAAGTAACAAGCTTTTTGTGACTCTTCTGTTTTTAACACAATCATTTAAAGCACATCTATTACTTATTCCTTTATTTACTATGCCAAATACTGAAGTAACAGGAACTCCACAGTGCTGTATTGAAAGAGTTTTTATTTTAGACTGTGAAAAGTTGTCTGCCTGGCTAGTGTTTCATAATGTCCAGGAAAAATGGGTACATCAGTTAGCTCTCTCAAGGATTCTGCTGCTCTTAAGTGAAGAGCGCTGCAGTTTTTCTTGGATCTTCTCCATTTTCAGTCTGTCCTGCCATGGCAAGGTCAGAAGCAGGTTTAAAAATGGTAGGCACCAAGAGTGTGGGATATTCCTCCAGAAGATAGCATCTACCCACATCACCTTCTCCAGCAGTGCTTCCCTTCACACCACGACTGAACATCTCCTGCCATCGCCTCTAGGATAGAGAAGGGCCCTGCAAGATGGATTAGGCTCTGTCTCCCTGACCTTGCAGGACTGTGAGACTTGGAGGGATGCGTGGAGATAGCTCAGCTCACAGCACTGCCTCTGCATCTCTCCCGATGGATTTGCAGGTCAGTTTCCCTTTGAGTGGAGAGTAGCAGTGTGGATTTTTAGTGCCCCACATGTTGTCATATAAGCTGGGAACTGCTGCTTTAAACCTACACAGAGAACTAAATGGATCGCTGATCTGTTGTGGAAGTTCTTAACACAGCAGCTCTGTTCCTGTAGAGGTAACATTTTAATAAAGCATGTTTGGAGTGACACTTAGGAACATTGTGTATCATATTTTGTTTCCCAGGTGAAGATCTCCTGGCTATTGTAGATGCATGAGAACCAGAGCGATACGTATGCACATGTACAGCTTGTGCTGCTTTCCAAGTCTGGTAAAATACAGCTGTCTGGGATTGCAGCTTTAAAAAAAAATAGTGTGTTCTTCTGTTTGGCTGTGCTTTTGTGCTTTTTCTATCACTTCTGGCTGCTCTGTTTCATTTAGGTTAGATGCCGCACATGGATGCAGTACCCTAGCTTACTCAGTCTGTGTATTTAAAATGTTTCATTGTATTTAGGTGGAGCTTGTGAAGTTTTTAAGGGATTGTAAAAGAGAATAAATGAATTTGATAACCAGAAAAGCTGAAGTCCTTGGTGTAAAACATGATTGTATATGCAAAGAGGTTTAGGAAATGGTTTGTTGTTTGCACTGTATTTATCCTGGATTAGTTCACTGCTTCACCCGATATGTTCAGGATTCTTCCTCCCTGGTAGGTCTTCTGGTACTCTGGAGACTGGCAACAGCTAAAGCTGAAATAAATGCAGAACATGCTGATGCTCCTAGTGGTAGTACATGATGAAGGCAACTTAGAGATTTATTTTTTTTATGAAATTGTTTTTAAGCGTTTACCAGGCTTGGAGTTGGGAAGCAATCATTTCCTAACAGAGGCTGTTGAGAGTTGTCGTCTCTGCTCCTGGTGATATAAAATAACCTTTCCTGAGGTTATTCAGGAGTTAAACTTTGTCAATGCTCAGATTTCTAATGGGACAAAGAACATGTATGGTGGCATTGATATATTCTCCATGTGTCCCATCGCATGTTCCAGATGCAGCTCTTGCGTTGTGTTCAGTAGTATTGTTAGGGTGTGGTGTACAGGAGAGAGAGCAGATCTGTGGGCCCTTCTGTGGTGAGCATCTGTGTGGGACGGACTGTGGTGCTGGGGACCAGACTGTCATGTCATGTTCTCTGCCAGCCCTATGTTCTTAAATGTTCAATCTCGCAGAAACACAGTGACTGAAAATTCTCTTCTATAAAAGTGCAGCAAAGTGTGGGCATTTTAGATGTGAAGTGTTAGTGAGAGTTGATATTAACCCCTAGGGTGCAAAGCATTTTTATGCTTGGTAGTCTTTTAGAAATGGCAATAAACTGCCACCTTGATGGGAGGAAGTGGTTGTTAGCAGAGACAGAGGCGAGCAGCTTTCTCCGCTGATCGTGTCTGTTTTTCCTCAGGAACAAGACATATCAAGGAAGGCAGACAGCTTTTCTTGGTTGATTTAGAAAATTTGCTGGGAGGGAGAAGACAGTCCTGCTACTATTGTCCTGGTGTAGTGAATGTGTGCTGGCACAGACTTTCCAAGATGTTTTTCAAGTGTAAAATTGTTCTGTTTAAAAGCAATTTCACTCTGCCCCCCTTTTTCAGAAGTGCAGTGGTTATGTGCGAGTCCCTCACAGGATGGAGTACTCAAAAATGCTTTTGGCTCCTAAACTATAGCACTTTGGGTCTGTGCCAGGCTGTTTCTAGTAGATAATTGGAGTGAAAATGCTTTTAGTGTTCTCACCACTCCCAGGCTGGGAGTGTGCTGATCTCCATCCAGCCATCAGGTGGAGTAAATTGCTTTGTTGTTTTATTGTGTTGGGAACTGTACAGAAGGAGAAATGCTCAGCTCTATGAAGTTATTGCAGTGAGAACTTGTGAAGATTCCTGTACCTCTGGAAAGGGAAGAAATTGGGGCTGGGAAGAGAGGAAGTCCGGTGAAGGAAAGGGCGGAGAGAGGGGATATCACTTTTACTTCCAGCACTTACTCTCACTCATGCCCACCTGGGGTATGCCCCAGCCCAGGACTTTCTACCTGGGAAAAACTCAGGTGGCAAAGGTGATATGCAAGGAGTAGTGCAAGGACCACCAAGCCTGAGGTTAAGAAAAGCTTCAGGGATGATATTGCCAAGCTAGTGATCTCTAAGCAGGAATAATGTCACCTTTAGGTACCTGAGGGGGTCTAACTGTGAGTGGTCTGTATAGATGCAGCTAATTCTTCTGTAGAAGAATTCTGCATCTATAGATGCAGCTAATTCTTCCTCAGTCTCTGTACTGCTGTGTCCTCATTTCTGTGGGGATGCAGTATACCCAGGTGTCAGGGCCCTGGGTGCGCTGATAAGTCTTCATTGCTCTGAGCAGCCTCACCTTCCCACACCCCCCTTGCTCATGGGCCCTTCACTTCCACCCACACCCCTTGCTCATGGGCCCGGGGTCCCACTTCACCTCAGCTCTGAGCCTTCACTCCTTCACTGAGTGGTGCTGTGGGAGTTACTGATCCCCCACCTCCACCATAGCCATGTCTGTGCCTGCTTATAGACCCCATAGATCTGGGACCAGATGTGGATGGACTTCCTGGCTTGACCTCAGACCTGCCTTGTCACCATGGACCTGCCTGCTGATCTGGGCTCCTGGTTGAACCTGGCCATGATCTCTGGGCCTGCCTGGCTGACAGGTGCTGTGGGACAGGACCCTGGTTGGCAAGTCCTCTGCCCTGCCAGCCATGGGATCTCCCTTGCCTCCTCCCCTCCCTTAGGGAGCCACGAGACCTCACTGCTCCCTGGCACCAGGATCCCAGACAAAGGGGTTCAGCTTCCAGATGGCAGTAGGAACAAGGACTGTAAAGCTTGCAGCATTTCTGCATTGGTATCAAACTAAGAAATCCCAAAAGCTGGTAAACGTATCTTCCCATCTCCTCTCTGTTCTTGTTCAGCAGTTTTGTTTCACTGACATATGGCCTTGCTCCTCTTGTTTACCAAGCATGATGTCAGTGGAGTCCTGAGCTGGCATCAGATGACCTCTGTTTGGAATAGTTCCACTTTTTATCTTATAAGCAAAAGTTAATGTAGTGGAGTAACTTGAACTTGGAATCAAGCAGTGATGTAGGAGCTGGCCAGTGGACATGGCCTTGCAAGCAGTCAGTCTGTCATCTCTGCACTAGGAACTTTCATTCTCTGCATCCAAAAAAACCCAGCTTCAAGAAAAGAGCTGACTGTGGCGAGACTCAAATGGATGGTGAAACTGAAAAATAGTTATAACCGACTTCCTCAAAAAATCGAGAACTGTGTCTCATTGGGCCTTTCTTCTGGGCAGGTAACTGGGCTCAAGTTCATAGGCCAGTTGCTTCATGTCTAAGGTTTGCTCTGCAGTAACTGTACTGCCATTAGTACTAATGACAAGAGTTTCTCTAAGATCAGCATGTCCTTAAAGCAGCCAGTATCTAGCCAGTATCCGATTTTTGTCTCTGACATGCATAAGAAGCTGTTTCAGTAGAATAGCAGCAATCCTGCACTAAAAATCTGATAGCTCCGTTTATGAAATGGGCACCTTGCATACAAGACAGGAACAACAAATCCAAGAGAAACATGGTGCTCCTTGATGCCTGGGCATGCCACTAAACCATGGTGTATGGGAAAGGATTGAAGCCTACCCTGAGACAACTGCAGTTTCTGCAGTGTTCATGGTAATCTGTTGCTTCATCCCTCCTAGATCTCTTTGGTCTTGATTATGGCGTTAAGTTGTTTTGACTCTGACCTTCAGTCCTCAGGTCATGAATTTTGCTTCATCTTTTAGAAAAGTGATGGCTTTCAAAGACAAAATTCCATAGGCTTTGCTTTAGTGTTTGGATTTCTTCAGGTTTTGTTGGAGTTTGTCCTAAATCTCATCAGGTTGTGTGCTGATAGTGCTTCAGTTAATTGATACCTTCTTTCTAGATCAATTCTGTCCAGGTTTCCTTTGAATGCCATCCCTAATTTGTGCAGAGCTCACCTAATAAATTGTGCAGCTGTGATCCATAGCCCTGATGATCAAAAGCATGTATGTTTTTCTACAGCTCTTGTACTTGTTGAAGAATCTCTCATGTTTCTTTTACTTTGTTTTCTACTAGCACGTAACAATAAAGCAATGTACTGTACATCAGAAAGAGCAACTAGCTCTGTGTATGATGGTTAAAATAAATTACTTTGGTGTCTCTTCAAGCAAGGAGAAATACGTTGTCTTTTTTCTACTTAATGCAGGTTTCCTAGAGTTAAGTACTAAAGTTTCCAGTTCCCTAAAACTTTCTCAAGTGCGGCCTGTTTTATCTGCCTCATCTGGGTGAGACTAGCTGCATAAAAATATAGTGGTGTTTCTGTTACAAAAGTGTAGACATTAATTCGTAGTCCAAGGAAATACCTACTTCTGAAACCTCAAATTCCACTAAATCTGGCATGTTCCTGTTCTTGCTGAAAGCAGTTTGTGTTCTGGTACACTGACCACTATTATCTTCAGACATTTTTGGGGTCACTGGCTTCCTAAGATGATGGTTTGTATGGCTGAGAGAGGACATGTGTAGGACAGATATCCCCTTTAAGTAGAAGAAAGCAATACTTGGTCCTTTCTGAAAGCATCATAGGTCCCAATGGAATGCTCACCTGCCAATAAATCTTGTTCTTTCTCTCAGGAGTGAGAGTGGATGGAACTTTCAGAACCACCTTTCCATCAGGACACCATCCCAGGCTACTTCTCCCATTCTTGCCAGCGCATAGCTTAGCATATCATTGCAGCTGTGTTCATGGGGTACAGCCCGTTGCAGGAAAACTAACTTGTTAGATGGAGGCTTCTTGGTTCCTAATGAGGCACCTGAGAGCATAAAAAGTTACAAGAGATGGGAAAACTACCTGAACTGGCATTGTATTCATCCTCATTTGTCACCTTGTGGAGTTGGTGGTGACCAGCTGGAGCAGTCCCTCCACTTCTTCCTGTATGAGCTCTGAAGTTTCTGCATTAGTGCAGTTTCAGGCCATGAATAGCCCAATTTCAGAGGTCATTGCAGTCAGGGTGATGAGTAGCTAAAAAACCCAAACTCACCCCCCAAAACACCCCCAAACCCCCAATTTTTTTCCCTCTTTCCAACGATTTTAAGTCCTCCCCATCCCTAAATAATTGACCTAATTCTCCTGGATTGAGAGCCTGACCGATGCTTTTATTTTCAGTGAGTTATTTCCCTTGGTGCTTTGCACCTCTTGCTCCATCCCAAAAGCACAGTTTGTACCTAACTTGCCTTGTGTTAAGCTTTCCACAGCAGTTCATCTGCACCTCCAAGGGTGCACTTTGACAGGTGAAATTTAGAGTGGCAGAAGTCTGTGTTCCCTTCAAACCATTAGGACACTATATTACTTCAAAGTGTGAAATAGAAGATAGTTACCAAAATAAAGGTGATGAGGCTTGCTACTTCCTGTCAGTCATCAACTTGGTAAATCTTCTAGAAGGGAAAAGGGTTGCTGTGATTCATATTACAATGAAGTTGCAGTGTGGTGTAAAAATAGGAATATGCATTCATGTTCATTACCTCAAAAGATTTGGCTTATTGCCTGCAAAGGAAAACAGGAGACTATTTCTTTTTTTGTACTTAATTTGTATTACACAAGGTACGTAAGTAAGATACACCATTCAAAAGGAGCCCTCGTTCTATTGAGGTTATGAAAGCCTCCAGAAGAGGCTCTTGATCTTGCTATGTGTTATCAAGCATATAGCAAGTTTATTAATGTCATTGTGATATGGCTCTTCATAAAACTAATACTTGAATTAAATCTGAACCAGTCTGTATTACTCTTTCCTACATTTGTGCAGTGTGCATTTGGTTAATCAGCTTTAAACAAGAAAGCAATGTAAGCTCTTGAACTGTGTTACTATTTACAATGTTTATTTTCCATCTGAGTGCTAACATAAGACAATCCCATTACTTCAAAATTACCTGTGTGGTTTTTTGTGGTGTGATCTTGGAATGCCCGCCCTGTTTTAATGCTACTGGTGATAAATGGCAATTTGCCTGGTTAATAAGATGATGTGACTTATTCTTTTGGTATAGATATCCCTGAAGAAGAGGCCAGATACTGGACCAGAAAATTAGAACAAATAAATTCACTGGGAGATGAGGTAAATATTTAAATTGAAAGATGAATGTAGCCCTGAATGCCTTATAACTTGCTTTTATTCTTTATATCGGATCCCTGTGATTAAGGTAATTACCAAATGTTCATCATTTACAAGTCTTCCGTGAGTTGTTTACAGAACTGTTTTCTCAAGTGTACTGTTAGTGTAAAGGAGAGGAACATTTTCCACAGGCTGGAAGTGCTTGAATAGTAAGAACTGTTTTGTTTATGCACATACACTCAAAGGAAAGGTAATACCATGCTTTACCTCAGAGGAGAGTGAAACTGCCTTTGACAAGCTGCGGTAGATTCTCAATTTGTGAAATCAAGTCAAAAAGGACATTTTTGCAGTTGGCTGTTTCTAGGAAGAAGGAAAAGCAAGATATTGAATCTTTCTTGGAACTGAGGACTGCTGGAGCTGTTAGCTTTTGTCCTAATCCAGTTGTTCATGGCTCAGTTTATAGAAATCTTGTATTTTAATACTTGCTAGGTATGGCTTTGGTTTCCTGTTTTTTGCACTGTGTACCCTACTAAACAGCTATAAACTAAAAGTTACAATTTTTTTTGAGAGATTCTTACATTATTAAATGTTTTCGTTATAGTTCATATGTTTGCAAAATAAGATTTGTCATATTAATGCCTGTACCAAAAGTTCAGCATTTAAAAAAAAAGAAACCACACCAAAACACGAAACCACCCACATGTTGATGCCAACGTAATTGAGCAGGAACATGGTGTTTGCTTAAACTCTTGATAAGTCTCTTTCCATAGCAAGATAACTTGCAACGTGTTCTGCTGGTGACTTTAGGAGATTTTTGTTCTGGCATCCTTCATCTATTCTTTTCTGCTCCTTATGTAAGTCATTTGGTGTACTGTGCAGATGAAGGAAAACAAGGTGGGTTTTCTTTTTGACTGAGGGCAGACCAGTATTTGGGTGGATAAAAACATAACTGCTGGAGGGCAACCTCTCCTGCCTTCCTAGAAGTTTGAGAACCTCTTGGAGCTGATGAAAAGCTCGATCTGTGATTTGGCCTGTCAGTGGTACTGCTGTGGTGCCTCCCTGCTCCTGTGGGCTCCAGCAGCAGTCTGTGCCAGGTACTTCAGTGAAGCATAGGTGCCCTCTAGTGCTTTGCTGAGCTGGTCCTTGCTGAAAGGTATCCTGAGCTTTGTGAGACTCCCCTTTCCCTGGAGTGCCATCCATCTGCATGCCAAGTGCGTGCTTTTATCAAATACTAGTAACAAAATCATGTCTCTGTATTTGTCACCTAATGATCTTAAATTTATTATGAATGTTTCCTGTCACCTGTGAGAACATGTGTGCAGGGCTTGACCTAAGGTTCATCTTGTCCCGTGTCTGACAGTGACCCAGAGGGAGGATGTGTTGTGGTTTAACCCGGCAGGCAGCTAAAACAACCACACAGCTGTTCACTCGCTCCACATCCCCCCCCCCCCCCCCCTGCAGTGGGATGGGGAAGACAATTGAAAAGAAAAAAATAAAAAAGGTAAAACTCATGGGTTGAGATAAAGATGGTTTAATAGGACAGAAAAGGAAGACAATAATAATAATACTGATAAAAGAACACATAAAACAGGTGATGCACAGCACAATTGCTCACCACCTGAAGACAATGCTCAGCTAGTTCTCAAGCCGAACTGCCTCCCGGCCCACCCCCTAGTTACGTACAGAGCATGACATCATATGATGTGGAATATCCTTTGAGTCAGCTGTCCTGGCCATGTCCCCTCCCAGGTTCTTGGGCACCCCCAGCCTCCTCACTGGCAGGGCAGTATGAGAAGCTGAAAAGCCCTTGATTACTTGGCATCAACTAAAACATCAGTGTGTTAGCAACATTATTCTCCTCCTAAATCCAAAACAGAGCACTAGACCAGCTGCTAGGAAGAAAATTATTTCAGTTGAAACCAGGACATGATGATATCTTCCTTGCACATTCCCCTAATTTGCACCAACTTGTAGCTCAGGACCTTCCAGAGCCAGAGGCAGTATCTTTGTGTTTAACAGCACTTGATGGATTTTTGTTCTGTGGATGTCAGTTGCCTTTTGAACGCACCCAGGTCAGTTATGTTGTAGCAAGGGAATTCAGCACCTTCACTGTGCATTACCCGAGGAAATACCTTATTTGCTGTGAGCAAACAAACCCTATGTTGTGAAACCAGCTGGAGGCAGGTATATTTGAAGCAATTGAATGACTGATCCTCATTCAACCACTCTGTGCCACTCAGCTTTACAGACCTCACCGTCTTGTGTGGCTTTTGGGCTACGGAGCCCTACTCTGCATAGTGATATTTAGTACAGGACAACTTTGTGCCTTTATCTTCTTTTCTGTGCCTTAAGTTCAGCTACCTCTGTTTGAAACAATGGATGAACAGACTAAGCTGCACAGCAGTATTCAAGAAGCAGGTTCATTTGGAGCATATATGGTGTCGTAAAAATGTGTTCCAGTCTTTGTTCCTACAAACACTTAATATTCAGTTTCCTTTTTGGGACTGCTGATAGCCATTGGGCTGATGCCTTAAAAAAACCAAAATACTGCCATTTTTGGATCTCTGGGTGTAATAATTCAGAACCCATTGCTGTGCTGCTGAAATTGCTCATCAACAGACTTTCTTTCACCACTTTGTCAACCAGTCAATGCAGTGAGATCCAGCAGTTTTTGTTTTTGCAATCCTGATTAACTCAGGGAGTTGGCAGTTTTCTGATGATAAGACTAACCACCTTTCAGCATCACTTATGCATTTTAAATAGCAGAGATTGGAAGACAGCCACAGCAAAAGTGTGTAGTTTGTCACCTTCCATGTAATTAACTGGTCATTAATCCTTACCAAATCCAAGGAGAGGTTGTCTGGTGGCTCTGTTTTGCACAGATTGCAGCACCAGATTGCTAAGGTTGCCACTTCCTTTGTCATCAGACCTTTTTTCCTAGCAAAGACTGTTATTATTTACCTCAATTGTCCTAATTTTCTCGTATCTGTATGTAATATGAGACAGAGGAGAATAACAAAATAAAACCACTGACGTTCCCCTAGGGAATACTTTGATGTGTAACAAACAGCTTTGTAAAAAGTCAAAGCTGGCTAATTGAAATATCTCTATGTTCTCTAATTTAGTATTAAATGAGATGAAAAATTCTTCACTTTGGATGTACAGTGGATCACAGGAGAGTTTGTAAGTTGGCTGGGCAAACATTGTGTTACTGCCCTGCCGGGCACACTAATTATGTAACCGCTTCAATCTCCTATGGCAGTGTTGCTGTGAGCTAACATGAGTTTTGAACTGTTGAAGCGTGCTTGAGTGTCTAAACATAAAGGGGCTTATACTCAGTTCTGAGCTCCCCATCACAGTGACACTGTAGTGTGGAGAATCAGATCTTTTAGATGTCTAATTTGAGATCTCACATTGAGAGTAGGGCCTGTGCTTGTAGTAAAGCAGACTTCACCTTAACCAGATGTACGCTTTTTAACGTCGTTTTGGCATGAAAAAAGAGGAGACATCTAAGAGTTTTTGAATATAGATATTAAGGATAATATTTAATGCTTAGATACTACCAGGGATATTTTCTTTTATGTATGGCATGCTGTACTCTGAAAGCTGTTTCAAAAGTTACCATTTGCTTTCTTATCGATCTGTGTTCCTCTTTTTTTTTTTTTTTTTTTTTTTTTTTCTCCTTTAGTATTCCTTTCAGGAGGAAGTCCAGAAGAAACCATTGCCCAGTGCTGCCTCCCAGTGTTGTAAGTTAGAATTTATTTCTTCTCAATACTTTCTCGTCTTTGAGTGCACTTTATTTCCTTCTCTGTCTAGTTATCAAACGATGGTACATCTGAACAATATTTTCTTGTTAGAAGTTCTTACACCTCTGTGAAGCCAGTAGCTTCTCTCAGTTATGAAAAACTTTTCCCCTCAAAATGTTGGTCTAAAGCTTCTGATGCCAGAAAGTGAAATTAGGCATTGAGTCTCTGCGATAGGAACACAAAATGTGTTCAGAGTCACCTAGATTGTCAGACCCTTGTAATATTCATGCAAGTAAGAAAATGCTGAGGTTTTTTCATATAACTAAGTCAGGCTATATTCTCTTTAAACATCATGTGTTGAATATTATTTTTATGACTTTATAATGAAATTTTGAGAGGAAGAGAATAGATGGAGGCAGATACTGTTGGTAGCCTTCTAAAATGCACCGGGGGTTTGTGTCCTTGATGCCCAATTTCTTTGATATTACTTTGCAGTGCTGTGTTGATGGCTGAAAAATATTTTTACTAATTTCTGCTTATCTCACATTTTTTTATGCTTCTGAAAACACGGATGGAAAAATAACCTAGGACATACTGTATCTGATGGTCTGCAAAATTAGATTTCTGAAACACTGCTTTTAATGTGCAATAGATGAAAGCTCAGTGATGTCTCTTATGAATGTCTTATCTACCTTTCGCAACAATATTAATAAATTCAAGTCTCATAATTTAAACAAATCTTTTATCCTCTACTTCAAATCCTATAAGATGTGCATATTACACTTTGCAGGCTGCTTATCCACTAGGCTGATTATAGGATCTCTAAAAAACTGTTAACGTTAGGAAATGTTAATTACTGATTACCTTTGAGTAGAATTAATTTATCTGTATACTGTTGTTATGTTATCTTAAAACTGTCTTCAACAAAACACAGACATTAACCAATTGCCTGGGAAATCTGAACGTGTTGTGTAGCTGGAACATGTATAAAGCTGTATGAAAGTATTCCAGCAGTGGTACCCTAGGTAACACCAAATGCTTCCTTCCTTTTTTTTCAAAAGAGTGTATGTAAAGAATAAAACACTCTTTTGTTGTTGCTGTTTTTAAATAGTCAGAAGGGTACAACTGATTTATAAAGCCTAGAAGTAAGAAACATTGTTGGAGAAACTAATATTTGATTAAATGCATAGTATGCAGAACCCCTAATGTCAAAAATCAAAGAAAACCAGTCTGATATGAAGTGTCCAAAAAATGAATGTGTTATTTGCTGAAGTGACTTTCCTGGTTATGTGCCTTGGACTTTGCTTTTGTTTGATAGGGGCTGGTTTGATTGGCTCTTCTATGTATTGGGACGTATGGGTAAGTTTGGAGGAATGCTTCTGGGTAGGGAAAGTATCCACACCTGTTCCCACAGCACAGTGCTTTTACATCCTTCTAGTTCTTGTAGCTGGTTTCTTCCCTGGAGGACCAACTCAGCTCTTGTAAATCCGCATAGTAAGACTAGAACTGCAGTTGCCCTTTTTCTGTTGCCTATTAACAGCCTGCATCTGTTACAAAGTGACCTTTCACAATAATTAATTGAAGGCCCCTCATTTGAACAATTAATATTGCATAAGAATTTAATCATTCAAGGGATTAAAACATTCATTAGAATTGCTGTTAAATATTTCATAACAGTATGTTGTTAATGAATTTAAAAATTTTCTAGTAATTCAATAAAGCTTGTGGCACTGCATGTACTTTTGCTTGTGTACTGCCTGCAAGTATCCGACATCTGTGAATATCTAATTATTTGCATGGACAAATATAAAATACATTTAATGTAGAAGTACCTTTGAAAAATGAATTCTGCATCAATCTATGCATAAGAATTGTAAGCTTGCCTGAACATAGCATAGTCCTTTGAAACTCAAGAATTAAACCCAAAAGATGCATTGACTGTGTCTTTATTGAAAGCTGACCTAACCTTTGCATAAGACATAGGAGCTCAACCTCCTTTTACATAGGAGCAGGATGGGTGTCCTTCCCTAACCTAAAATATGTTGAGTACGGAGTGTTCTTACTTTACCATGTGGGTAAATAATTGATAGATATATTTTTAGGTATAATAAAAATATCCTCAAGAACATTTGTAACACTTATCTGACTTTCTGTCATGATGTGCTACATCAGATGTGGTCAATGCTGGGATCAGGACACAGTCAGCTGGACAACAGACTAAGCATCTAGAAGGAGCAAAAAAACCTCCTTAGTGTGAGTAGGTTTTGCCCCATGAGAATATCTTCCCAAATCCTAAAAAAAAAATGAAGTTATGTTAAAACCTGATGCACTATAGAGCAACAGTGCAGCAAAACACTTCATATAGCTTGCATTTCAAGAAGTAATAGTATAACTGCACATTCCACTTATGTGCTGCTTAGCCCTCTTGCAGTTCTCAGAAGACTCTTGTGGCTTCTTTCTTGTAGCTGGAGAAAATCCTACTCCAGCAGGCAGGGTCAGGTTCATTAAATAGGGAAACACATGTCCTTACATGTTATAAATTATACTTCTACCCTGTTCTGCTTCTTTTCCACACATCTGTTCCCTTTCCCAAACCACCTTTTCTCATGGTTGTTTCCCCATCTCCTGCATGGATGCAACTTGTTCTGTTATCTCCCCTGAGTAGAAAGGGGGAGAAGGATGGAGCAGGATGTGAGAGAAGAGAGCTGGGCTGTGTCTGAAAGCCAACATTGGATCCATGAGGGTGGGTTTTCATCTCTGATCACGCGTGGACTGCTGCCTTGGCATAGTGCCATGACAAATATCAGCCCAGACTAGGTGCTCCAATTTTTCCAAAGATTACAGAGCTTTCAGGCCCACTTTCACAGTCTCAAGTGCTACTTTGTTCTTAGAAGAGTCTGACCCATGATTTGTGAGGTAATGCAGAATTCAGACTTCCTACCATTCTATAATGAAGCAGGTGGGTCTGTTTTTGTACATGCCCTCTCTTGTAACCCCTACTAATTTTGGCACTTCATGCCTCTTCCTTCATCATACTTAACCACTCCATTTTTACCTCTCAACTTCTGTGCTTCCCAATATATTTCTTCTGCCCCAGAAAGATCACATGCTTCCAATTGATTTAACTTTCAGTGATCCCCAGCAATAAGTAAAGCACTACAGTGCCCATGGATCCAGTTTTGTTTGCATTTCTATTGAATGTAATTGTAATTCTTAATTTCCTGATACCTCATTGTTAAATAACTGCAGCATCCTCATATTGGTTTTTACCTGCAACCTGAAATTGAACGTAAATTAAAAAGAAAGAAAGCTGTTATTTTCTGGAAATTCACTTTAAATGAAGCAGATTGAAAAAATGTTATTTGATTACTTTGGCATTCATTGAGTCAATAAGCTCTAAGTTATTTATTATGGTAGGTATAGATTTATTTTCCTTGTATGCTCAAGATCATTTCTGGCAACATAAAAGTCCACTAAAATCCATAAGGGAGTCACTCTGTCAGTATTCTAAATGCAGTTCTGACTTGGAGCAGACACCATGCAAACTGGGATGAGAAAGGTGTTCTGTATCTTTGTGGAAAAAAATTGGCAGTCTTAGCTAATATCAGCCACTGTAAATACTACCATATTCCTTTTGTTAGGGAGTTTACAAATCTGGAAGAGAGCAGGTTTGTTCAGTATGATTCTCAGAAAAGATAACCTAAGTGCCACTGAATCAACCAGTTATGTCTGTCCTTTTATCTTTGATAATCTTAGAATACTTTATCCTCCCTTCTCTGCATATATTTTTTTCTTCCACTTCCTTGAGTCTGAAGTGTTGCTCTTTTCACACTAAGACCCCGATAGACCACAGTGCACAATAGTTCTGTCTTGCATGTCTTTTGCTCTGTAAAATCCCTGTTTACCAGGACTGTGTGGTTGGGTTTTTTTAATTGTGGGTTTTGTTGGGGTTTTGTTTTTAGTTTTTTTCCGGAAGAAAGTAAATTTGCTGCTTGGCTCTGGATTGTAAGTTGGTGCAACAAGGAAAGAAATAACTCTTCTGATATACTATTATACTAGCAAAAAGAATCAAAATTAGCCTGTGCTTGGTCGGCCAGCAGATAAAAGAGAAAGAGACAGTAAGACAGTATCTCCTGTAGGAGAATAAGAAGGAAGCCTAAATGCTGTCTGGAACATGTGTGTGTGCACATGCATGCAGGAAAAAAATGCTACAGCTTTGTTGTAGATACATAAACAGCCTTTTAACTACCTAAAAGGTGGCAAAATGTTTTATACACATTATAGGAATGGATGTCATTTGATGCCATATCAATTTGTTGTGTTAACCCTTCCTTCCCACTAATATTTGAAGAAATCTATTTCTGCAAAATGTGTTAAGTAGAATTCTGTAAATATCTGCACATTCACTACTATTTCAAAAGTACCAAACACTGAGAGGTTTCATTCCTGATACCCATTAGTTCTCTTTTTAGGAGCTTGAATTCCACTGATGCATCAGGAAGGCTTGTATGTTTCTCTGCACAGACTGACTCTAATGCTGAGATTACCGTGCTCTTCCTGGCACTGATGAGGAGCTTCATCTGCTAAAAACCTAAATGACTGCCTTCCCTGCCCCTGACTCCCCAGCAAGCCCAGATAACATCCACACAGATTTTTTTTTTTTTCAGGGTGCTGCACTGTGGATGCTTGTACCTTTATACTGCCATTAACATACCATTGGGTTGAGGCTATCAAACCCTGCTACTAGGATTTCCACTGCACAGACGGTGTGGTTCTAGCAGAAGCAGCAGCACTGAGGGCACAGATCTGGGCAGGCTGTGGGTTCAAGGCAGCTGGGTAAAGCTTAAAAAGCATGGTTGGGAGGGTATGCATTGCAACTTGTTTTTATGAAATGAAGTCATAGCCATCCAAGGTTACATGTGCACTCGTTTGAACATGCCATCTTGTGCTGTTGTTGAATATTGTGGTTCATTCCAGTCAAAGATAATGTTGGCTACCAT